AAAAGTTACTCCTTCTTTCTTTGCGTGAACATTTGGGCGGCGTTATGCAAATCTTCCCACATAGTGACATAGACATGTGGGGGCGTGTTAGAACGAGACGTTTTAGGTAGGCGTGGCTGACTCTTAACTTTTATAAAGAATATCTCTTTGGATTTGAGACTTTAGTCTTTGCAACTTTACAGATCTTTTTTATGCACACTAAGAGCTTGTAACATATCAAAGAGAAAGGAAAACTTGAAATTGCATCATATGTCTCCTAATAATAATAATAACAATTATATATATATATATATATATATATAGGTCAGTGGCCTTTGGCTTGGTATTGTTAGCAGAATTCGGTCCTTGGCGAAAACTAATTGAGGAACCCTGGTCTAGGCTTTGGTCTTTGGGGTCCGGTACTAGTCTAGGTTTTAGTCTTTGGGGGTCTGGTATTGGTCTAGGGTTTAGTCTTTGGGGGTCTGTTATTGGTCTAGGCTTTAGTCTTTGGGGGTCTGTTATTGGTCTAGCCCAGGGGTGTCAAACTCCTTTAAAAAGTTTTGTTCCAACCCTGCTCCAACACACATACCATGTAGTTTTCAAATAGGCCTGAAGGACTTGAACAGTTTTGAGTGAGTGAGTGAGTGAGTGAGTGATATCTTTGTTATGTAATACACATGTTGGTTGGCAGTGAGCTCACAGTTTTAACGTACAAGTTTGCTTTAATTTATTTTCAAGATCTGAGGTAAAATATATATTGTTGCTTTCACTATGGCTATAAAGCCTACCTGAGACTATCACTGTCATATTTTGTATGTTGTTCCTGCAGCGACCTTGCAGAAAATTAAAATCGTTCCTAAAATAGAATCCCATGTCGCTTATTGTCACGTGTCGCTCTCGCGGGTGGTTAGGACAAAAACTACATGGAAAATATACTTTTTATTGCATCGTGTCTGGTTGCTCCTTTAAAAAGTTTTGTTCCAACCCTGCTCCAACACACATACCATGTAGTTTTCAAATAGGCCTGAAGGACTTGATTAGTTAGATCAGGTGTGTTTAATTAGGGTTGAATCTAAACTCTGCAGGGCTCTGGCTCTCCAGGAATTGAGTTTGACACCCCTGGTCTAGACTTTAGTCTTTGGGGTATGGTACTGTTCTTGATTTTAGTTTTTGGTGGTTTGGAATTGTTTTAGATTTTTGGTGGTCTGGTATTGTTCTAGGCTTTAGTTTTTGCTGGTCCAGTTTTGGTCTAGGCTTTAGTCTTTGGGGGTCCAGTTTTGGTCTAGGCTTTAGTCTTTGGGGTCCGGTACTAGTCTAGGTTTTAGTCTTTGGGGGTCTGATATTGGTCTAGGCTTTATTCTTTTGGGGTCCGGTACTAGTCTAGGTTTTAGTCTTTGGGGGTCTGGTATTGGTCTGGGTCTTAGAGAGCCTTGCAGTAGACTGATTTTGGGATGGTCTAGTATTGGTTTGGGTCTTGGAGGGTATGGTCTTTAATTCTGTTCTATACTCTCATGGCAAATAACAAATGAATGCCCAGCATGCTCAGCAGTCTGTTGTACAGGTGTAAAATGGTATTGATTAGTGATTTGTTCCCATCTAATTTGCTGGCGGTAATTTGTCCTTTGTAGGTCATTCACCTTAATCAGATCCACTGGTGTAATGAGTCAAATCTATTGACTCTGACTACATATAAGGTTTACACACTAGAGAAGTCCTGACGGAGTGTTTGATGGATATTAAATACGATTTGAGGATGTACATTATAGGAAGCATGATGGAGCATCACTTTCACAAACCCGTGTATATATTCTTGTCTCGTGAAAAGTAATACTTATAATAGAATAATAATAGAAATAATACTTTAAAAGAATAAACTTAAGTGCAAACTGAATGTAATTGCTTGAATATTTAATTGCATGGTAATTACCATTGAAAACTGTATTGTAGTTTACATTCATATTTAATGCAAACTTTAGCTGAACTTTGATGTTTGTAAGAGAAACAAACAAAGAGACAAAAAAGAGACGCAACAATTTAAAATCAATGCCCAGGATGATTTTAATAACTATATCATGCAAAAATAATCATCACACTCTATAAAGAACATCAACTCTTATCTTTTCAAAACCAGAAAATTGCCTTTAAATTTTGGTCCACCAGTCGCAAAAATGAAAGGAAAGACATAATAATAATGTCTTGATTGGAATAATTTAATATAAAATCACACTTAGTGAGCAATCCGTACAGTTTAACACTTTTTGACATCAACAAATCGCTTGTTTGACACAACAATAGAATATAACAATCACTTGTGCACTTCAGTCTCAGGCAAGAGGCCATGAAAAGAGCTTTAGGTTTGTGATAAATTCACCACAAAATACACAAATCTAGAAAACATCTAGCTGAGTTTCAGAACAACGTAAAGCATGGCTCAGATCCCAACCTCTGAAAATGGCCTTGAGTTTTCTGACCAGAACAAACATAAGCTGATTCTGATGCTTCAATAAGACTCTCCAACCATTTGAATGACTCCCGTAAACTAGACACAATTCAGATTTGATGAATGAATTAGATGTTGAATATAACAAGATTGCTGATGTTATCAGTAAATTATTGCAGTACATGTTCTTAATAGTTTTTTTTTTTAAGACTTTGACACATCATCTTATATTACTGCTGGTTGACTAAACACAACACTGGTTTGTGTCATGAATGGAGGATCAGAGTGAATTTCACAAAAAACGTGCAAGTTTCAAAGAAAATCAAGCTGTAGGGCCATTATTATTATGATTATTATTGTTTTTATTTGCTTATTTATTCATTACTTTGACAGCATTGTAGTATTGATAGTATTTTTTGCATTACGGTAATGAGAATTTGGGGCTAAATGTGCTTGATTGTTATAAATGTTTTTTTTTTTTTACTTAAATGGTCCTAAAAACAGGCTTAATTTTCTTAATGCAATATAAAATTCCTTATTTCTTTTCTTTTGATTTTTAGATGAAATAGAACCTGCGCATCCTAACAGGTTTTGTGAAATTCACTCAACATATTATATCAGCTTTGCATGGCAACACTTAAATACATCAGATGATCAGGATTTGACCATACATGTGGAATGATCTCAGTGGCATCACAATATACATCCCGAACGGACAACCTCACTCTTATGACAGTTTCTATGATAAATATGGCCCAAAAAGAACAGTAAGTACAGATATCACTGACCCAGATTCACAACATTCTCACAGAAACAGTAAACCCATGTCACTTAAGATAGAAATTAATTGTTTTCCCAAATAACAACATGTCCGTGCATTCAAAGTGTCTTAGAAAATGTCTGGTTTGTCATTGTTGGTTAAAACGGAACATTTTAAATGAAGACCAGCTTAATACCACTTAAAATACAGGACTGTATTGCCAAGCACACACTTGAATGTATTGTTGATGTAACTATAGCTGAACAAAACTTATACAAGGTTACACTTTAAAAAGTTCTCAAGTGTACTTTAGGACGTTTCAACATTTAAAGGTTTATCAATATATTTCACACTTATTTTAATACACATCATCTTTCAGATTTGTGCTATTTTAGATTCTCTCTGCATCAAATAGTAAATGTCTTTTTTTGCTCTACCTTCTAGGTTTATGTCCCAAATAAAAGGACTAGTGTATAATGTGTAATATAGTACACGTACATAATGATAAACAGCATTCTTTGTAGGTTTAAGTTATACAATATAGTTAAATAACCCAAATTTTGCATATTTTCTGTAAGGTCAATGGCAAGAGCTCTGTAAACCAGAGTGAAACACTTGTTTCTTTTGAACAAAACTACATTCATCTAAACTATACTCATCTCAACTCTACTCTAATTAGTTCTGACCAATGAAACTAAACTACTCATCTGCTAAAGTTATAGTAGAAGACACACAACTAAAACCAAACTGGTTTAAACCTGCAAAAAAACAGCCAAGACCTGTGCTTTGATTACAGATGTCTGTGCTATTAAGTATTGTCAGCTGATTAAATGTCATAAACCACAGTAATAATTGAACATATCTGTATTTTTTAAAGAAAACATTTACATAGCCATACATATTCTTTATATAATCCTAAATATGATTTTTTTCATTTAATTATCAGTATATTCTCATTAATATCTCTGTATATTATTATTTATTATTATGCCCAATCTTAAATATCTTCTCTATTCACTTCAGATTGGCTAAAGACTCAAAAATGACTCCGATAGCTATGCTTAAGCACAGCCTATCTGTCTTTATTTCTTCTATCTATCTCTTTCTATCTAGGAGTACCGGTCTCCCGCATACGTCTGCTCGGCGTCCTCCTGGATGTATTCCTCGGTTTTCTCCCAGCCTTTCGCCCATCCCCCATTCAGCTGCGTTGTGGCCCCATATGTTTTGGCGGGGCCCCCAAGAGCGGCCTGGCCTCCGAAAGGAGCGTGGCTCAGCGTGATGTCACCGGTCTCCTCCGCTAACTCGTCTTCATCGATGAAGCCACACTTCTCCTCACTGGTCTCCTCTGGATCGGCCCACGGCTGCTTCTCGCCGGATGCAAAAATCCCGTAGAAGACCACGCCGCCGTAATGCACCAGCGAGGCGATCAAGAACACATTCTGCCATTCCTCACGAGTCTGACGGACAAGAAAAGACCAACTCAGGAATGCAGTCTTTGACTTTTTGTCATGTCATTCCTTGTGGTTTAGAATGATATGCCTGTCTACTGCTCAGAAAGCAGTAGACAGGCATATCTTTGACTTTGACTTGATTTTCTACAATATTTGAAAAACAGAATGCGAACAATATGCGTTATGCAACAATAAACATTTTAGATTTGCTTTGCTGCATCTTTGTCGCATGACCTCATTACGTTGTATGTTTAGCTCTTGGAAATGTTGTTTTGGATTTTTGTTCCATTTCGTGTAAAACCTGTTGTGTAATAAAGAGATGATAAAAATATGGCTTATATAATGTAGCTATCATTGGTTATACTGGAAATGTCAGGTTGAGTGCACTGCAGTGTGTTCTCTCCTATCCTGCACATTTTGTCAAATGTATTGCAGGTAATTCTGAACAGTACATGTATGTTTAACCCTATAAAGCCTGTTGTCTATTGCATACTGGTACACAAATTTCAAAGGCTTCTAAATCATCAGTATGAGCAAAACTTTGCTGAAAAACATACTGTATACAGTACATGTCTTCTGTTGACTGATTGATAGTTTATATGTTTTTAGCAAGTGAGTTTTTGCTGTGAAATCTTTACTGATTTTTATGAAGTAAACATAAGAATAAGTTTTGTTGTTAGCAATATTTCAAGGTGAACACTTACTGGACTGAAGCGATTGAAGCATTGTATGTTTTCATTCCCACAATTAAAACTACACTGTAAAAAAAATTCTGTAAAATTTATGGTAAGAAAATGGCAGCTGTGGTTGCCAGAATTTTACCGTAAAAAGTACAGTAGCAACGTTTAAGTTTTACGGTTTTAACTTAAATTTACAGTTAAATACCGTCATTTCATTAACTGAAATAACGTTAATATGCCAACCTACTGAAGTACTGAAATCTGTTTTGTACCTTTGTAATACACTGATAACCACCAAATGAAGGTGTTGATGAGAAAGTCACATGATGAAGCCCATCACAATCAGCTTTTAAATAATAACATATATAGAAGGTGCACAGTATCATTCACACAAACACTAAACACCATCATGCTAACACACATGAAACTGAAATAATGCAATACACAGTCATTTAACAACATTAGGTGTAACATACAAACAAAACTGATAAGAAGAAACATAGTTATTTCAACAACAAAAAAAACATCAAATTTGAAATTCCGGGAATGTCAATTTACGGTTATTCACTATAAATCATATGGTCTTTTTCACTTCCACAAATGGTATACTACCGTAAAATTACATGTAATGTCCAATACAGTTTTTCACTGTATGTAATAGGGGAATTTACCGTTAACCATTTAACAGGTTTTTACTGTAGCATTTTTACAGTCTTTTACCGTTAAATTCACGGTCATTTTTTACAGTGTGCAGGGCTTTGATCATAAAACTTTTTTTTTAACTATTTAAAAAAAGGTTTTAAATATGATCTTATTAAGACATATTATTATAAGATATAGAGTGAAAAATTGTATTTTTATCATTTGTTGATGTGGTCTACTATAAATATCTCATTGATTTACAGTACAAATCAGAATGCCATTTATTAAATGCTACTAAAAACACATAACGTTTTTCGCTATATAAATATAGTTTGATATGTTGTCTAATAAACTGTTTAATTGAAAAAAAAGTTAAATTTTTCTAACTATTGTTTCATATGTCAGATGGCAGCAATAAACATGTGATAATGAAAGTAGGGCCAATTTCAGAATTTCTCACCTTGTTTTTGGTCATAGCACCTACAATGAGAGGGCAGACCATACCAGAGAGAGTGCCCACTCCATTAGAAATACCCATCAGTATGCTGGCGTACCTCGGCGCGATGTCCAAGTGGTTGACATTGAAACCTTGAAGAGGGCCAGGATAAAGGAAGAAATCAGAAATATCAGGAGACATTTATTTGAGATATTGTTGAATGCAATGGGATTTCAAAACTTGAAGCCTGTATCACGTCAGTGTGTGAATGTCTCACCTGATATAGCAAAGCCGCTAAAACCAACAGCTAGCACCAGAAACGAGATGGCCACACCTTTACTGTGAGAGAAACCAACCACTAACAGCAGAGTGGCCTCCATTCCAAACCCTAAAATGAAATTATGTGTGGGTCAAAGGTCACACCATGCCATAATGTTTTCTATTAATTCCAAACACAAGATACAATTAATCTAATGAAATGTGGTGACTCTTACCGCCACAGTTCATGATTTTCCTGACGGTTGTGGTGGATAAGATGTTTTTGCTGCGCAGGAAGTCAGCCAATTGACCGCCGATTGGCACTATGATGGTCATGACCAGGTGGGGTAGAGCAGAGACCATACCGACCTGACAACACCACAGACAACATCAGTGGGATAGTGATGGGACAAAACCCCATACGAGTTATGATCTTAAGTTAAAATATTGAAGAATCACTGAGCCACACTTTTCAATACAATGAAATTTACTGGTGATTTTTAGGATTTTTAGGACTTTTAAGAAAGGCAGTGTGCTTAATTGTATTGAGTGTGCACCTGTAGTGTACTTCAAATTGTAAAAGCATATTTAAAAAAACGTGAAATTACTTATGAAATGCACTTATGTCCTTATAAAGTGGTTCAAAAATCACTTGTAACTTTATTTAGTATAAATTAAAACTTTTTAAGTATGCTAAATAGTACTGTACTTCTTCTAGTCCTTTTTCACAAGGGCTGCAAAGATTAAAAATGCATGTCTCAAGACCAGTTGTAGAGTTTATTTGCACATATTCCTCACACAAATGTATCATATAGCTTCATAAGGCGTAAAATGTAGTGCACAAGTCATATGGAGTAGCAGCAGACATAGCAGCTCAGATATTATGCTAATTTTCTCAAATGTAAAAACCTGTCATTTTCTTTTATCAAATAAAACGATGCAAACCTCTATAATGCTATTTAATTAGCACACTTGATACAAAATGTGTGGATCAAAAATAGCTCAAATATACTATATACTAAATACAAAGATACCATATACTAATACTGAATCACTACATTGAAATCCTAAACGAGCCCTAACTGATAAAACCACAAAACAAATCCAATCTCCCTGCATGCCACACTATGAGGCAGTTCTGTCCAGCAGAATCAAAGCAGTGGTTCAATTACACCTGTCAGACCTGCAGGATGTATGTCACTCTTTCAGCTCAGGAGTCGAAGATCAATAACAATGTCAGGCTTTATTTATGTACGCCACTGTGAGCACACATTTCTGAATGCCCAACATCTCAAATACAATCCAACACGGGCGACTCAATGCATGACAGCAGTGAATGAGGGTCAAACACAACAGACAGTGACGATTCAAATGAGGTCTGAGAAAAAATTGCATACCAGACCAATTCATACAGCAAATGCAAACGCACAACGACATGCCTGAGATCTGATTAAATCAGTTTAGCTGCTTCTCTCACCTTACTGATTTCAAAGCCAAACACTTCTTCAAAGTACGCTGGCTGACTGATCAGCAACAGATAGAAAGTCCAGCTCCTACAGAAGTTGGCCACAATGATTGCATAGACCGGCATGGAGGTGAAGAACTTCCTCCAGGGCGTCTTGAATTTCTGTAGAAAAAAATTGAGATGGGAAAGTCTATAGCACACATCTAGCATGACGATCTTGAGCAACCATTTCTTAGAGTGCTTAAAGAACCCTTCTATAAAATGATGTAGATTCTCAATCTCTCTCCAGGGCAAAAGATCTTCAAACTCAGGAACTTAAGAAAAAACATGATTTGCAACTTGCTATTGCTAACATCTTTCTGCTAAAAATTTCACACTAGTTAGGGGTCAATTTTATTTAATTATTGTTATTTTTAAAGAAGCCTTTTATGTTCACCAAGGCTGCATTTATTTGATCAGAAATACAGTAAATATTGTGAAACATTATTACAATGTAAAATAACTATTTTATATGTTAATATATTTGTACATATAATTTATTCCTGTGATCAAAGCTGAATTTTTAGCATCAGTACTCCAGTCTTCAGTGTCACATGATCTTCAGAAATCATCCTAATATGTTGATTTGCTGCTCAAGAAACATTTCTGATTATTATCAGTTGTGCTGCTTCATATTTTTGTGGAAACCATGTTCAATTTTTCCAGGTTTATTTGATAAATAAAAAGCTCAAATGACCAGCATTAGAAATGTCATTAATATAACTTTTGATAAATTTAAAGGTGACATATCATGAAAATCTGACTTTTCCAGGTTTTAAGTGCTATAATCAGGTCCCCGGTGCATCTACCAACCAAGGAAACGTGAAAAAGATTAACCCAATCACTTTGTTTTGGGAAGCCTTTTTCTGCAAGTGTCTGAGAAAACGAGCGCGTCTGATTTCACTCCCCTTGAGACGTTGCAAAGGGATCTTATTATAATATTACCGCCCCTTAATCTGTAAGTTTCCATCCACTGCGCCGTCATTGTGTTTTCGCAAGCAACAACGGTGTACCAGCTCTAATGCCATGCCGAAAGTCTGAGCAAAA